AAGTCTTGCCTAAGCTTAAGCAACATGATCAATCATTTAATCATTACCTGATGCTCTATACATTCCCTGCCTTTCAAGTTTGTAAGCAGAATTCCCAAAGAATTTAACATCTGGTACTAGTGGATATGTCCACCTCTGTATTATGTCCTTACTAACGGTGTCATAGCTTCGATAATTATCAATTCTAGCTGCATAGCTTGAGCAAATTTCATGCGTGTAAATCTTGTAACCCATGATCTGAAAAGCATTGTCCATAATTATATTAGCAGTAGACATTTACAATACTAAACATTAAGAATACATGACAACGGTATTTATTATATGTTCAAATTTTAGAATTTGTCAATTCGTTTTTTTAACCATCCAAAAACAAAATGCACAAACTGCCAAGTAAATTACACCACCAGGAACAGACGTTGAACACTGGACAAAATATTCATTGACCTTGTCCCTAAAATAGTATTATATATTTTCCAAGAAATATCAGCATATAAGAAAGAAAGGGGCAGAGACTCAGGGACACTTATCCCTCAACTATCCCTTCTATGAAATATACTGGCCCTAAATTCGATCTTTTTACTGTAACTCATTAGGATAGTGGCACTTCTCCTTCTTTTTATCAATGAAATTGTTTCTTACAAAAAAATAATAATAGTAATAAAAGAAAATCTACCATTTCAATTAGCATTTAGCTTTTTCTAGCAACCTAATTGGGCTTGCAGGAAGAGGGAGAACTTTTAACAAAATAGGAAGCCTTCTGTTGAATTTATCTTTGTTGTTGCTCTACCTTCCTATCACAAAATCACAATCTTCCCTAGGAATTTGGATATCCCCCCCCAAGAAAAAAAATTAAATGCAGTCCTCATTCCTACCATCTAAAGTGAGATGAGGTGTTTCAATAGTAATAGAAGTAACTACCTAACTAATTCTAGGATAAAGTTTTCAGCTAAGAAGAGTTTCAACCAAAATAATTTTAAAAATAAATAATTAACAAAAACGCAAACAAAGAAACTGAATTATTTCATTATGTAGTTAGAGTCAAAATTCAAGCATACACATCAAAGCTGTCATTGGTCGTGACATAAAAGAAGCTTAGTTTAAGAGATCTAAAGAAGAAAAGGGTAAGAGGTCCATAATAAGAAATACGTACATCATCTAAGAGCAAACCCTTGACAAAATGACGACGAAGATGTTGGTAGTCAAAATTGTCGGTAAACAGACTGAGTACTTCTGGGGAGCATATGTCTATGTAACAATCCTGCATTACATAAACATGATTTAGTCTTTTTTTTTTAATGACATGGCGCCACTCCCTGCATCTATCCTTACTAACAGATGTACAGAAGTAGGAGACAGCTGCACAACTATTCCTATTTTTAGTAGACTGTCGGTTGTCCAACATTGTCTCAAACGTGAAAATAAGTGTCTGACACTGTCCCATGTGTGTCAGATTTTTCAAGTGGGATTTCAACACAGTCTCACAAATTTCCCTATGCTTGTAAAACTCTCACTGGATTGAAATCCCACTTGAAAAACTTTAATAGAAAATACAACAAAAGGTCCACGAGAAAATACTAATTTGAGAATTTGTAATTTTCCCATCCCCAGCTCATGTCCTCTTCATGATTCATTTTATGTTTGCAATGAATTTGCTTCTTATAAAAAAAAAAAAAAAAGTTATTAATCAAGATGTAATGCTAACACTGGAAATAAACAAGAAAGGCACTTGTAGCTTAAATCAATAACCTGCATATCGTTATGAAGTGACATGGAAGGATTATCCATTAGCAGTGACTTGTCAAGATGTATAATTCCTTTTGAATTGTCAGCCTTATCCTCATAGTACACGAGCTGCTTAGTATTAGGATCAATTGCCATAAATAGCTCATCAGTGCCAAGCCGAGATTGGTGTGTGATAGGAGAAGGCTTTGACCGTTTGACAACCATAGTCATTACAGCATTACTATCTTTCTTCTTTCTTTCCTTGTGTTCTTGAAGAGCTCGCCTAAGTGACATGTTGCTTATTGTGTCTCCAGTGATAAGAACAAAATCACCATGTATCTTCAAAAGGGGAAATGTAGAGGTAATTATAAGACACCTGAGTGAAACGGCCTATAAAAACTGGATGGCACAATGAATCGTTCACAGAGGTTATGAAAGTGCAAAGTCACTCAATATGACAATTCTTATGCAAACACTGTAAAATAAAATTTCAAAAGTAGTGTGGTAAATGAAATAATGAATGTAGAAAGGTGTTTTTGCTCTTTAGAAAAAAGCCGTCTTGATTATCTTCACAGCATCAGAGTAGAGGTGCCACCATATACACATCACTTTTGTAACATTATATACACCCGCAAAAACTTTCTTTTAATACATTAAAAATGTCAGTTTAAACTTCAAATTGAAGCCATATGCTGTTCAAGCATAAACTGAATGGACCACTCCTCATGATACACATATCTAAGGAAATATACCATAATCAAAATAGCTCAGTGGACAAAGTTTCAAGGGTAACAATTGCTCTTCACTACACTAAGATGAGTATATCACTTTATACAAAACCATATTAACAACTTTGGATTTGAGTTAGTCAGGCAAATACATAAATGTGATGATTTTGGATCTGAGAGTGGATCAAAATGCATCAAATGCTCAAAATCCATAATTATATAAATGTGTGGGTATTTTGGATTTGAGAATGGATAAAAATGCATCAATAGCTCGAAATCCATTTCAATTGTCAAATTTTAGTTCTTATAAAGAATGCCTGTATTAAAAGTAAGTCCCATGCCCGTATTAAAATAAGTCCCATATATCAGTTTCAGACATGCATGCGTACCACATTTCGTTCATAGATCAAACGCAAAGCATCTCCAGCACTAACAGAGTTGTGCGACTCTATAGTTGTGACTGCAAAGTCTGGTAGGGATACCCACTCAGAGTTCTCCAAATAATCAATTACTTGCTTCGAATTAGCACAGCAAAATACAAACACCTCCTCAACACCAGCCGATTCGAGCCAAGATAAAGTATAATTAATCATCGGGACATTTACCAACGGCAATAATACCTACAGAGATTAAAAAAAGCAATATAAATAACAGGCACCATAAAAAACTTCGTACATGATCCCTATGCAACCAGCATGCTGCAGATTGCTTATGAAAAATGAAACGGGACAATGGTATACATAATTGGCACAGAAAACACCCCAAAAGTTCTCACAGCTAGGCTTCTAAGTTTACGTTGTAACGAAATACGCATACAAAAACTTGTGCATCAAGTAAATAGAAAGCTAAGCAGCAACTTGAATTGCACAGGACTTGTTATTATTACCAATAAAAAGCTTACAACAGGAGGTTTTTTACCAGCCCTCGAATGAATGGTTGTACATTTCCAAACTAATATCAAACTACTGACTCAATTATGAACACACCGTAAGAAATGTACATCCTGAGACTGTTTGGAAACTACCTTTGGGCGTTCAAGCGTTATGGGATGAAACTTAGTGGTAAAGCTATCAGCAAGAAGAACAGCCTGCAACGAAACTCTTGCCAGCTCCTCGGGGTCCTCGGAAACCCGCGATGCTCCCTTCCTTTGAGCAACCATTCCTTCTTCACTTTGTTGAAGAATAAAACAACTGTTCAATACGTTTAATGTGCAGAGCAGTAGCAGCTTCGAATAGGCGATTGAATGGAATTGAGAGGCGATTTGATGAACAGGAAAAACCCTAATTAAAACCTCAAGGAATGAATGAAGAAGACGGAAGTCTGAGAATCTCAGCTCGGACCTTGAAGATGGTATCAAATGGCGTCTTCGCAAAAACTCAGATAAATTAAAAAAAGGTAATGACTTTCCAATAAAATATATAATATGAATTATAAAAATAAAAAAACAATTTTCTTTTTTAAGTAAAAATTCAAATTCATGAATTTTTTAAAATATTGAATGTATTAATAATTTATTACACACAAAAATTAAAAATTTAGAAAAAATAATTATTGTATGCTTTTAATGAATTATTAAATAATAGCTCATAAAAATAATTGGAAAGAAAAACTATATTAACACGACCCTCCACAATAGTATGATATTATCCACTTTGAGCATAAGTGGTCCCAGTAGTGAGACTTTCAACCAACACCTCCCCTTGAACAAAGTGAGGCTCGACTCCTTTGTTCGATTTGAGTATGACATGGCTAAGTTTTACCTCCCCTCGAACAAAGTGAGGCTCGACTCCTTTGTTCGATTTGAGTATGACATGGTTAAGTTTTCCTCCCTTTAATCAAGGCTCGATTCCTTTGTTCGACATTTGAGTATTCTGTTAACATGGTTAAGTTTTAGGGCATGACTCTGATATCATGTCAGTTGAACACGACTCTCCACAATGTCCACTTTGAGCATAACTTCTCATGGATTTGCTTTGGGCTTCTCCAAAAAGCCTCAATCCAATGGAGATAGTACTCTTTAATTATAAACTCATGATCATTCCCTAAATTAGCCGATATGGGACTTTCATCATCAAACTCCTCCCCTCGAACAAAGTACACCTCTCCTTAATCAAGGTTCGGTTCCTTTTCTTTTAGAATCCTTTGTTCGACATTAGAGGATCATATTGACATGGCTAAATTTTAGGGCATGGTTCTAATACCATGTTAGTTGAACACGACTCTCTACAATGGTATGATATTGTTCACCTTGAGCATAAGCTCTCATAGTTTTGCTTTCGACTTACCCAAAAGGGCTCATACCAATGAACTAGTATTATTTTATTATAAACTTATGATTTCGGAAATTAAATGAGAGAATTGTTAAAATAATTAATTCAAACCGAGGATATTAAAAAAATAAAATAAAATAAAAATCGAACAATTTATTATTATTATTTTCTTCAAAAATTGATTTATTTTTTAGGGTTTAATATATATATAGAGAGAGAGAGAGAGAGGGAAGATTGAACGTATAATAGACCGTATAAAAAGAAAAGGCGTGTAAATATATTGAGCAATGACGGGAGAGGGAATATCAGGGAAGCCTCCATGTGCACATTGGGCTTAGTCGATTTCATCCTATAATCAGTTTTATCTACGATAAACCCTAAAAATCTTTCAATCTCTTCATCTTCAGATTGTTTTCATTCGTTTGATTTTGCTGTTTCTCTCCAATTCGACTATGGTTGCTTCCACGGCTAACGGCGACGATGGATTGAAGAAATTGGAGTACTTATCCCTTGTCTCCAAGGTATGTTCTGAGCTTGAAACTCATTTAGGTTTCGGAGATAAAGTTCTTGCTGAGTTCATAACGGAGATGGGACGGAGCTGTGAGACGGTGGATGAGTTCGATGTCAAATTGAAAGAGAATGGCGCGGAAATGCCTGATTACTTTGTTCGCTCGCTTCTGAGGATCATTCACCTTATTCTTCCTCCGCAGAAGAACAACGAAAAGGAGTTGAAGAAGGATAAGGAATCAGATGGGAAGAAGAGCAAGTTTCGGGCCTTGGTGATCGATGATGATCGGGAGAGAGCGAAGGAGCTGGAGAAGGAAATTGAGTTGGAGCTTCGCCAGAAGCGTGGGGACAGAGATGAAGAAGATGATCGATACAAGGGGAGGGCCGGGGACAGAGGAAAAGACAGAGAGAGGGACAGAGACAGAGACAGAGACAGAGGTAGGGATAGGGATAGAGATAGAGATAGGGATAGGGATAGGGATAGGGATAGGGATAGGGATAGTTACCGGGATCGGGATCGGGATAGAGATAGGCGCAGGGATAGATATGAAAGGGATGAGAGACATGGTGGGAGGGATCGCGACGATGATGGTGATGATGATCACCGGAGAAGCGGAAGGCAAAGGGATCGGAATAGGAAAAATGGATATGAAGAAGATGAGCGTTATGGGGGTGATGCAGAAGCTGGTAATGGCAATTGGAGAGGTGATAGGGACAAGCATACACAAAATGGGCGACACCACCCTGTCGACCAAGAACCTGAATTGTACAAGGTCTACAAGGGTAGAGTTTCCAGAGTGATGGACACGGGTTGCTTTGTCCAACTGAGCGATTTTAGAGGTAAGGAGGGTCTGGTTCATGTTTCTCAGATTGCCACCCGAAGGATTAGCAATGCCAAGGATATTGTAAAGCGTGATCAAGAGGTTTATGTCAAGGTCATTTTATTTTCAGGGCAAAAGTTGAGCCTTTCTATGAGGGATGTCGATCAGCATTCTGGCAAGGATTTACTTCCGTTAACGAAGAAAAAAGATGCCGACGATGGTCCTAGAATGAATCCTTCAGATTCAAAGGATGATGGGCCGGTGGTTAGGACTGGCCTTTCGGGGATTAAAATTGTGGAAGATGATGTTACTGTCCCTTCACGCAGACCTTTGAAGCGCATGAGCTCACCTGAGAGATGGGAAGCCAAGCAGCTGATGGCTTCTGGGGTTTTAAGTGTAAGCGAGTATCCTTCTTATGATGACGAGGGAGACGGGTTATTATACCTAGAAGAGGGTGCTGCTGAAGAAGAGCTTGAGATTGAGTTGAATGAGGACGAGCCTGAATTTCTGCAAGGCCAGAGCAGATACTCAATTGATATGTCGCCAGTTAAGATCTTTAAAAATCCGGAAGGGTCACTGAGTCGAGCAGCTGCACTTCAATCTGCACTCATTAAGGAGCGTAGAGAAGTTCGTGAGCAGCAGCAGAGGACCATGCTCGATTCAATTCCAAAGGATCTTAATCGACCTTGGGAAGACCCTATGCCAGAGACTGGTGAGAGACATCTTGCACAGGAGCTCAGGGGTGTTGGCTTGTCGGCCTATGATATGCCAGAGTGGAAGAAGGATGCCTATGGAAAAGATATCAGTTTTGGGCAGAAGTCAAAGCTCTCTATCCAGGAACAGAGGCAGAGCTTACCCATTTACAAGCTGAAGAAAGAACTTATTCAGGCTGTTCATGATAATCAGGTTCTTGTTGTCATTGGCGAGACTGGTTCAGGTAAGACAACACAAGTAACTCAGTATCTTGCTGAAGCTGGGTACACAACATCTGGTAAAATTGGATGTACTCAACCACGTAGGGTGGCTGCAATGTCCGTCGCAAAGAGGGTTGCTGAAGAGTTTGGATGTCGCTTAGGAGAGGAAGTTGGATATGCTATTCGTTTCGAGGATTGTACAGGACCTGATACCGTGATCAAGTATATGACTGATGGTATGCTTCTTAGGGAGATTTTGATTGATGATAATTTGTCTCAGTACTCCGTAATTATGCTTGATGAAGCTCACGAGAGAACGATCTTCACTGATGTTCTTTTTGGGTTGCTGAAGAAACTTGTGAAAAGGAGACCCGATCTTCGTCTAATCGTCACATCCGCTACTTTAGATGCTGAAAAATTTTCAGGATATTTCTTCAATTGTAATATTTTTACAATTCCTGGGAGAACTTTCCCTGTGGAGATCCTCTATACCAAGCAGCCAGAAACTGATTATCTTGATGCTGCCTTAATCACTGTCTTGCAGATCCACTTGACAGAACCTGAAGGAGACGTACTTCTTTTTTTGACTGGTCAGGAGGAGATTGATTTTGCATGTCAGTCGCTCTACGAGAGAATGAAAGGACTTGGTAAAAACGTTCCCGAGTTAATTATTCTACCAGTCTACAGTGCCTTACCCAGTGAAATGCAGTCCAGGATATTTGAACCGGCTCCTCCGGGTAAAAGGAAAGTTGTAGTGGCTACGAACATTGCTGAGGCCTCGTTGACAATAGATGGAATTTTTTATGTTATTGATCCTGGATTCGCTAAACAGAATGTATATAACCCAAAGCAAGGGCTTGATTCTCTTGTCATTACACCAATCTCACAAGCATCAGCCAAACAGCGTGCAGGTCGTGCAGGGCGAACAGGACCTGGAAAATGCTACCGCCTCTATACTGAGAGTGCTTATCGCAATGAGATGTCTCCTACATCAATACCAGAAATCCAGAGGATTAATCTTGGTCATACTACTCTTACAATGAAAGCAATGGGGATAAATGATCTTCTGTCATTTGATTTTATGGATCCACCTTCACCCCAAGCTCTAATTTCAGCAATGGAACAACTTTACAGTCTAGGAGCACTTGACGAAGAAGGACTTCTGACTAAGTTGGGTAGAAAAATGGCCGAGTTTCCGTTAGATCCACCTTTGTCTAAAATGCTGCTAGCTAGTGTGGATCTTGGATGCAGTGATGAGATCTTGACAATAATTGCTATGATTCAGACTGGAAATATCTTTTACAGGCCAAGGGAAAAACAAGCCCAGGCTGATCAGAAAAGGGCCAAATTTTTCCAGCCAGAGGGAGATCATCTGACGTTGCTTGCAGTTTATGAGGCATGGAAAGCCAAAAACTTTTCAGGCCCCTGGTGTTTTGAGAACTTTGTTCAATCTCGGTCCTTGAGGAGAGCGCAGGATGTGAGGAAACAACTTCTTTCGATTATGGACAAGTATGATCTTCTGTCTCCTCATGATATTATCTTTGTTGAACTGTTGTCTTCAGTTACGATTGTCTATTGTTGTCTTGTCTTGCATGCATGCATTTTCCTTTTAACTATTTTGTTTGAACATAAATTTACATGTGCGGGTAGAGATGGCTGCTCTGTGGGGGGAGTGCTTCTAAATTTCCCCTTTTGGAGAAGGGAAAAGTTTTATGACATGCTAGTTTATTTTCTATTTTATGGGAAAGGAATAACATGAGCTTTAAAGAGGTGGAGATCGTGTGCAGAGGTTTGAGAGGTTGTTAGGCTTAACATCTCTTTGTGGGCATTGGTTATATGATCTTTTTGGAATTATGAGACAGAACATATAAATTGGAGTGGAGTCCTTTCAGGAGTTTAGGTTTGGATCTCTTCTTGTTGGGCTTACAGTGTATATTGTTTCATTTTTCTCTAGTTTCTTTCACAAAAGAAACCATGTAGTTTACACATTGGTCTAAATAGATTCAGGCTGAACCAACAAACTATGTATTCTGTTAAAGAATCTACATTGATTTGAGAAGGGAATGGAATGGAATGATGGTGTGGAAAACTCTCTCTAGTAGACACGTTTTAAAACCGTGAGACTGATGGTAAATATGTTATAGGCCAAAGCAGACAATATCTGCTGGTGGTGGGCTTGGGCTGTTACAAATGGTATCAAAGCCAGTCACCGAACAGTGTGCTAGTGAGGACGCTGGCCCCCCAAGGGGGGTGGATTATGAGATCTCACATTGATCGGAGAAGGGGATGAAACATTCCTTATAAGGGTGTGGAAACCTCTCCCTAGTAGACATGTTTTAAAACCTTGAGGGGTAGTCCGAAAGGGAAAACCTAAAGAAAACAATATCTGTTAGTGGTAGGCTTGTGCTGTTACGAGAATACTAGCAAAATATGAAGAATTTGGAAAAGGCATCGGAATGAAGTTTCGGCGAGATGCATAATAATGTTTGTATGAAAGTTCGAGTTAAAATGGTTTTGAGGTGTAGGTGGTTTACTGTCTTGTATTCTCCGGATACAACATCTTACTGTTTCTATAAGTCTCTTCCTTCCGCTTCTAACTCTCACATGTTGTGCCTAATTTCAGGTATAAATTGGACGTAGTGAGTGCAGGCAAGAATTTCACTCAGATAAGGAAGGCCATCACAGCCGGATTCTTTTTCCATGCAGCCAGAAAGGATCCTCAAGAGGGTTATCGGACTCTAGTCGAGAACCAACCAGTTTATATCCATCCGAGCAGTGCATTATTCCAAAGACAGCCCGACTGGGTCATATACCACGAGCTGGTCATGACGACAAAAGAATACATGCGCGAAGTAACAGTCATAGATCCCAAATGGCTCGTTGAATTAGCTCCAAGATACTTCAAAGTTGCAGATCCAACAAAGATGAGCAAGCGAAAGAGGCAAGAGCGTATCGAACCGCTCTACGACAGATATCACGAACCTAACTCTTGGAGATTGAGTAAGAGACGAGCTTAATTAACATGGTTCGTTCTATGCCATATTTGACTGACTTTGTATATAGAAATCCTGTTGTGTAAGAAGCTGTTGAGGGTAAAAAGGGGCATTAGAAGACCTTTTCATCTATATATATCAGGAAAGTTTTGGCTTCCCATTACTGGGAGAGGTCTTTTAGCTGTAGTTAGAGGTAATTAAAGAGAGAGTGGGAGAGGGAACTTGGGTGTCAAATCTTCCGCTATCACTGAAGCGTTGAGTTTTATTAATTTCATCATTCTTTTGCCCCCATGCAAGAAATCTTTGATACAAGCCTTTCTTTTTTTTCTTTTCTTTTCTTTTTTTTTTCTTTGGAAAGATGCCCTCGTAAACATTTTGGTTATACGAATTGACTGTCGTCCATACCTAATTAGTGACTTTGACACTGGACATTTCAAAAATGGGGTACGGGTCGGGTGAAGTCAATAATAGACAGTCTGTTGGCATTCCAGCCTTCCTTCCCCTTTCAGGGCCTACCTGATGGCATTCCAGCCTTCTCCTTTTCGGGCTTACCTGAAAAAAAAATCAAATTCAGTGTTTCTTGTCGTGAATATCTGAATAGGACGAACTGTTTCGTGGTTTGCTTTGGAACAAAACAATTAGAATTAAGTTCGTTGAACTAGAATGGGGGTGGGAATGGTCAAGATTGATCGATTAACCAATTTCTAAATGCTGGAGTTCCACTTCCTCGTAAATTTATCTTGAATCGGGATCTTTTGGCACAACTTTATCCTAGTTTTGCTAAGGGAGCAACCCCATTTTTCACTTTGCGGAGGATTAGATCCAGTAATCGGTGGTCTATGGTTAACCGATATTGCACGCTATAATTTTTTTCCTCTTTTCATATTAGATTTTTCATTTCTCCCTAAAGCACATCTAAGTGATATGATACAGTAACTCATTTAGTTCGATCCTATTAGCTTGGCTCATCCAAATTAGTATGTTAATTTTGTGTAAAGAATGCGAGTGCCAATGTTGAAAAACCTATTGGTAAGAAATCAAGCAAGAATTTAATTGATTAGTTATTGATGTGAAAGGTTTCAATTTTTGAGGTAAAAAAGATTTTTCTGTTTTTAATTTTATAATTGTTGGCGGTGGAGGACCAAATTTATTTAAATTGGCGATTTATGGTTGTATTTTCTTATAATAAACTTGATGAGAATTATTAACCTAAAACTCTAATAAAAAAAATTTATACATTTAGTTTATTATACGATGATAAAGCAAAAAATGACATGAAAATAAAGACATTTTATTTTTCAGCTTTAAATTATAAATTTGGTTCTGATAATTTAAAAATAATAATAATAATTAGCATTTTCTACTTATAATTTGGTAAAATCCTTTAAATAACCCATATCTTTAATACAATTCAATAAAAGGGTCTGTTTCTCAAGAGTTTTATTAAACTATAAAACATGATTCTAACCATTTCAACCAACTAAATTTGTAATTTAACCTAAAAAAAAAAAAAAGTTAATAATTACAGACATTCCTAATCTTATAAATTAGACTAAAGGCTCTGAAACAAGTCAAAATTGAAACTCTAGTGGAAGAGCAGGCCGTTTATTACTTAGTTTAGGAGCATCATAATTAAATTACATAGTTCTTAGGGTCACAATCAAGACCACATGTAAGCTTAAAAAATAAAACAAATGAGAAATTGAAGAGTATTAGCTGATGATCCTCAAGAACACCAACCTTCTCATGACGAAACAGATGAGAAAAATGGAGGAATCGAGTGTGTAATATGAACTCTGAGAATCTTCCATCTGCACCAGAAACCATAAAAATAATAATAAACTTATCATTTGGACCTTGATGTTAGTTTGAGTTTCATTGTTCTTCAACTTTAAACTTTTGTTACAGGGAAAGCGGATAATGAATTTACTCTCTCTGATTTCACTTTAAAAGAAGAAGAAAGATTATTGTTGTTGTTTTAATTACAGGGAAAGAGGCTAATGAATTTACTCTCTATGATTACACTCTTTTACTCTCCTATAAAGGAAAGAAAGATTAATTCGATCGAATAGGACATATGACCATTCTCGAATCTGTTCTTTCCATTAGAATTAACCCCTATAATAATTTCCATCAGAAAAAGACACTCTATGAACATATTTTCAAATTTTTTTCAAGACTACTCTCTTTTTTTCCTTAGAACAATGAACAATAGAGACCAATTTTAAGCTTTATTAAAAGTTCTTAAACTGTATTCTTAACATTTATGAAATTAGGGTTTAAACTTAGTTCATTCCTGTCTAGTTAGTTGCGTAAGACCTGATGTTTAAATAAATTGTACCTTATTAAATTGGCAGGTGGATGCAGAGGGAGGCCTTCAGGAGATGAATATGAATGAATACCCATGGAAATGAAGTTCACCGTAACTTCAGCCCTCGCTCCTACAACTGACGAGGTTTGCGGTTAGTGTTCATCTCTAGCCCTCTGCGAGATATTTCCCATAGCTGGTTTTCAATGCCTAGCTTCCTCAGCTCTATCAGCCCTCGCTCAACTGTTCCATATATCATTAAAATCAAACAAATTTTTTATATCAATGATTCTTTAATATTCTACACCATTCTTAATATGTGAATAAAATTAAACCGAAAATCACTTGAAACGATATATATTATGAGGTGTGAATCCAATTTATAATATTGTGTTTTTGAAGATTAAATCTGAAATCAAACAAAAACAAAGTTTGTAGTAGTTGATCTTGCCTATCAATATTTCAAATACAAATCAACTTATGCATGTATTTTCATTTATTTTGGTTTATAACTCTCATTTAGTTCAGAACCCTTTTGGTTTGTATTCTTATTTATTTGGTTCATAAGCTTTTTGGTTCATAACTCTCATTTATTTGGTTCATCTTCTATTTTGAAACATGAATCATCATATATGACATTAATGCTTCTATGCCTATATAAAGGGTTGTCTAGGATGGTTGAGATGTATAGAGTTTGAATTTGAGTATGATCATGTATTTTTTGAGTGACATTTGGGAGGAACTTTGTTGAGAGTCTTTGTAGTGTCTTTGTTTAATTTCTGTTTTTGGTGTGTGAATGTGATCGATCTTAGTTTCACGTGTCGCAAGATCAAGGTGAAAAGGAAGTCTTTGGAAAAGAAAATAGGTCATAAATTTTGGGAATGAAAAATGGAAATGACCTGATCCTATGAGGGAGGAATGTTGGTCATTCCCAAAATCAAGAATCAAGTTTTTAAAACTTGTTAAACTTCAACTTTTCGCAAACATTAACACAACGGAGAAGAGGGAGGAGGCTAATTTTGATCTTGATCTTGGTAAGGCACAATGACACCAAACGTGCTCAATTATAATGTATCCATACTTTTAGGTTGGTCATAACTCATAAGAAGCAATCTATGGTTAGCCCATTCAAGGTTTTCATCAGCAGCCTTCACTGGAGGCTCTCTTGACAAATGTAGGCAGTTTTCTTCGATTCTAAATTTAGATTCTAGACTAAAGTAAGTAGCTAACTATCAGGCGGGTAAAATCCATCCAAGAATTGAGATGAAAATTTCTCTCCTCACAAAATTGATTTAGAGAACAAAAACATGAGAATGCGGCGTGAAAGAGAAAGAGAACGAACCATCAACGGCATCATGAGAAGAGTATTTGTTACTGTGGTTGATCCAGAACTCCAAGCGTTCACCAACGATGTCTGGTTCGAGTTCTTCATTTTTTGCTCTCCTCCAGAAATAAGTGAGCCAAGCCTATATCATAAATACAAATTATCTTTATGCGGCTTTAAGGAAACAAACCCATAAAATAGTATATACAATTGATTTTCTAATTTTGATAATTTGATAATCAATTCAAATTTTGTTTTTTAGATCCTGTTTGAAAAACATTTGGTCTTCAAGAATTAAGTTTATTTCCTTAATTTGTTATCTATTTTTTACATATGTTCTCAAAATGGTTAGACTTAATTCATTTTTTGATTCAGCTTTCAATTTTATAAATTATAAGTGCTCAAGAGAGTTTTTTAAAAATAGATTTCAAAGGCAACCCATGTAAACACACACACATGGATAAACAAGTTGACTGAATATAGGAAGTCAAAATACCTGCTTAAAAGATACATCCTCTGCCTCCTCGTGGCTTATTTCTGCAAGGACATTTCATTTAAAACAATTAGTATAAGGTTCACAAGAACTGAAGAGAGTCCGCTTAATTTGTAGTTCAATAGTTAAAAGTAAAAACTTGAAAAACAATAATAAATTTATAGCATGCACAAGACTCAGTAATAATAGTTAAACGTTAGCCTCTCACTGTTTATGATCTAAAACTAAACAAGAGAGCCTAAGGCCACTAATGATATTGTCCACTTGGAGCATAAGCTCTCATGGCTTTACTTTCGGTTTTTCCAAAAGGCCTCATACTAATGGAGATAGTGTTCCTTACTTATAAACCCATGAACTTCCTCTTAATTAGTTAACGTGGGACTACTCCTCTCAATAATCCTTAACATTGCACTCCTTACAAATAACACAAATGTTCTCATTCTTCTATGCAAGCTCTAAACAACTACTTTTCAAGATTGCGATGATAATGAATCATGTAACAGATAGAAAGATTCTATTAGTTGGCAATTGATAGACACTTCCCATAATGAATTACGTTATCAATAACTTCTATTTGGTTACAACTGGAAAGTTATTTTTAGAAATTTCGTGTTAGGTATCCAACTAAGATAAATGTGTTGATCACATAAAAACAAACACAATAAAGATAACAATAGAAAACCAACACTCCTCTATTGGGAGTACTTCAACAGGGAGTGGGGTTATTAGTGCTTTTCTCCCAGCTTTTCGAGAGAGTTTGGTTCTATCCTAGATAGTTATCCACAAAAGATTCCTTCTCACCGTAAACCAAAAACCCCTACATAACTTCCACACTCCTCCTTTACTGTATGCGCACGATCCAAAAAGGTCCCGTCCCTAACCGTTTTTCATCGCTCTATCCCCTCTTTACCCTTTTCTAGAATAAGTACGAATAATTGGAGGCCTCACATCAGTCCAAAAACTAGTGTAGTATGCAAAAGAAATGAGCAAAACCTATTAGCACGACTCTTATATTGATTTCCATTTTAAAAACTTCATGTATATCATAAATTACTCCCAAGTAAATGTGTTGTACTTCAAGTCATGCTACAAACCTTTCTCATGTCTTACATAAATACCAAATTTAGACCACATAAAAATAGAAACGAAAAGAGTTTAGTGTTTTCAGATAACAT